TTTTTCTTTCTGATCCACTTTGTTTCCTAGTAGGCTAACCCTGTGAACATCTTGTCCTTTCAATTTACAAATAAACATTAAGATGTTGGTCCATTTTTCTTCTCTTTGTTGATTCCTCTCAATAAAATTTGCTATTTTGTACTAAATTACTTATGGATGTATGCATGCAGTCCGAGTACATTTTGGGATATAAATTAAAGAATGTTATATCATTGCATATCCCAAGAGCAATGTTCTATTTGATTAAATGCTCAAGTTCATTTAAGTTTGGTTGTATATCTATATTGATATGTGTAATGGAGGAAGAGGAAAACAGAGTGAGATTGTTCCTTTCAAGGCTAGAACTACAATACCTAACTCTTTTGTGAAAATGTTGCAATTCTTGTTTTCGACTTCTTCTTCTCCAATTCATTTGAGGGGTTTACTTTCTTCTCTTTTTTTTTTTTTTTTTTTGCACATTTTTGATAGATATGTGTAAAATAAAGTATTAAATTTGTTAGAATAATTATTGTAATTCTTGGTGTAAGTGCTGGCCAAATAAATTTGTGAACTTATCAAATTATAGTATGTTTGTTTTGTCAAATTTGTTTCTATTGGATGGATTGTGCTTGTTATTTAGTTAATGAAAGTAGGTTTTGTGCGTTCCAAAAGCAATTCAAGTGGATTTGTGAGTTTTATCAAATTTGGTTTGTGCATTTGGGTAGTAAAGGGATCTAGATATAGCGGCATTATCACCTATACAAAAACAACTGTCAGTATATCCTAAGAAATATACCGACGGATAATGTGTTACTAAACACCACAATAGACACTAACAGAATAATATAGTAAAGATGTATTGTTATCAGCATATTACATCCGTCAATATGGTAAATTGTCTAAGACATTGGTCATAAATAGCTGTCGATGTAGTTCTCTATTACCATACTAACGACTCTTTCGAGTCAGTATAAATGTGTATCGATGCAATCTATATTGATGAACTTATTAGTTATCAACGTAGTCTGTAGGGACTATAATGGAGCTGAAATAATGCAAATTTATTTATATTTACCATAAACAAAATAATGACAGTTAATGTTTAATAAAATAATGTCATAAATATAATAACCTTAACAACAACAAATATATAAAATTGTTTTATCAACAAATATATAAAATTATTTTTTCAACCCAATTGGCTCCAAAGACATACTTTAAGAACGCTATTAATATATATATAGTAATTGAAATTTACTAGTGGAGCTTGATTTCGTGAAAATTAGGGTTATTCATGTTTGATCTAATCCGATTAATCCGACCTAAACAAATACAATTCAATAAAAACTAATCCAAATCGATATAAAATTGGATTAGTTTGAATTATAAAATTTTAAAACCAATATAATTGGGTTGGTTTGTGATTTTACTTTCAAACTGCTCGATTACAAAATAAATTTTGATTACAAAATAATTTAATTAAATAATATAAGATATATTTTTTGTAGTATTTTAAAATTTGTTTTTCTTATTTTACAAGATAATAACTTCATTAACTTAATTAAAAAATAAAAATAGAACATCTCCATATTTCCTAAGTTATTTTTCCATTTTAATCATGCATTGCAACCCCAATTCTAAATTTCTAATTTACTTGTAACTCTATCTTTTCAAATCTGGTTTGTGCCTCTACTCTTAGAACCTTAAATTTCTAATTTATTTTTAAAATAATATTATGATTCTTCTAATTAAGTTTTAAACAAATATTATTCTACAAGTCTTAAAACTATATAATAAAATTAATCTTGATATTCTATTATTCTTAGATATTTGGTTTAGAACTTTTAAATTTTAATTATAAATACTTTTATTCAATTTTAGTGATATTCGTATTAAATTTTATTCATTTTTAATATGATTTAGAAGATGAGATTAAATTATTAGTGTATTAAAAAAAAACTAATTTTAACTTTTAAGAATTTTTTATACTGTACTAGAAACTTGAAATCATCTTTTATTATACTAATACCTCTAGTGACGTAACCAAGAAGAATTTTCATATCTTTTCAATTTTTACAAATGTAAATGAGTATAAAAATTTATTTATAATTTGTATTTTTTATTATATCTTTACTGATTTGGATGTTAATGTGCTTCTAATCAATTTTAGTGATATTCATGTTAAATTTTATTCATTTTTAATAGGATTTAGAAGATAAGATTAAATTATTAGTGCATTAAAAAAAAACTAATTTTAACATTTAAGAGTTTTTTATGCTGTACTAAAAATTTGAAGTCATCTTTTATTATTTTTCGTACCTCTAATGATGTAACCAAAAAGAATTTTCAAATCTTTTCAACTTTTACAAATGTAAATAAGTATAAACACTTGTTTATAATTTCTACTTTTTATTATGTCTTTACTGATTTGGATGTTAATATGTTTATAGTTATGTTTTTTATTTGATATTAAAATATTTTTACATTATTTCATATATTTAATAATGTTAAAAACCAATCAATCTCGCTGAACCACACCAATCTAATTTAAATTAAATTGATTTAGTTATCATACAATAATAAATTGGATTGATTTAAAATTTTTATTAACAAATTAAATTAAATTAAGTTAAAAAAATATTAAAATTCAAATCAAATCATACCATAGCATGAACACCCTTGGCGGAAGCTATAATAAGTTCGCATTCCTTGCATAATAAGACCTGCTAAGGCACTGAGGAAGACCCAGAAGCTCCAAGTACCCCTAAAATAGGTGTGAATGACTTCCATGAAGCGTGATTTATTGCTGTTGCAGTATTCATGGATATTACGGCCCAATTCTGGGTTTATCTTAAGATATGGCATCAGGATGCCACTAATATTGTTGAACAGCTCCGCTACAGCTTCATCGCTTCCTAATCCATTGTGCAGCACGCCTGCAACTCTCAGTTCCTTCGCATCCACCAGATTACCAATCAAGGAGTTGAGAAATGACAAGTGCGTGGTGATTACGCAATCTTCTTTGAAATCCGGACACAGCTCATACGCCATCAAATTCAGCAACAATGGCATGCATGGTGGTATTGTCCAAAAAAATGGGAGCCAGCGTAAGGGTTGGCATGCAACAACGGTCATTGAAATCAATGTCTGTGATGATGGCACCTCCCTTTTTGCTAGCTTTAAAATGAATACCATTGTCTTTCAGCTCCTTTACGTTGCGAATTGAGGGCCAGCGTTCGCTTTCAACACCAGGCAGTGTCGCCCACCGATCAACTTCGTAAATCCCTCTTTGTTTCTCACCCTTCTCTTTTGATTTCACTCCCATCAGTCTTCTTCGCAACAGGTCTAGAAGATGAGGAGGCTCTTCTTCTTCTTCTTGTTGCTCGTGAGGATGATGAGACTGAGAATAATCAACCTGAATTTGGTGTTGTTGCTGCGCAGTCGGACTCAAGAAGCAGTCATTGATGAATTTGATAATGAATTTCTTGGATAACTCCTTAAGATTAATTTCTATTAATTCTATACCTAAGGATTCAGCAAACGAGGCTTTCAATATCTTAAGAAGTAGGTAGGGCAGTTGGTTCTCAAGGAAGAAAAAATCAACCCTCTCAATGCTGACTAGATCAGTATCAACACTGAATTCCTCCCACTTATCGTTCACATCAAGGACTATGAAATGCAACAATGCACAGCCATCCACTAGGAACATCCAGGCCAACTCCTCATCAGTCCATTCCTGTACTTCTTTGGAGTCATAGCAGTTCCTCAAGTTTTTTATCTCCTTCTTGACATTCTTGTAGAAATTTTCCGTCCTGCCGCCACTATATTTTATGAGCATTGCCGCCAGTTTTAGCTTGCACTCCTCACCTCTTTCGATTCTCGAATCTTTGTCAATTTTTCTTTGAAGGTTGATGGGACCGATCGCAACAGAAGTTGGTTTGAAATTGTTAAGAAACCAAGGAATTCCAAGAAGAAGAAAAATGGAATGAAACTCAAACTCTCCTTAAATTGAAAATAAACTAGCTTTTAAATAGGTTTTACAAGATAACTTTATTTAAAAAGATAATTAACCAATAAATCAAACTTATCTTATCTATTTAAATGATAACAACCTAAATAATAGGAAAAACAAATAAACAACTTAAACTTCCTAAATTATAGAGATAATAGCTAAAAACTAGGATCTACTTTCCAACAATCCCTCCGTTAAACTGAAAGTCTTTAGACTTCAGTTTAAAGAAATTTGGCAAACACCATGTCTACAATTTGGAATATGTAGACTCTCCCTCAAACTGAATTCTACATACTGCAAACACCAAGCGACTCTCTTAGTCTTGAAAAAGTTGCTACTTTGAGGGGTTTTGTGAATATATAAACCACTTGGTCTTCTGTTCTACAATAAGTCAACTCAATCGTTCCATCTTCTACCAAGTTGCACAATAAATGATACCTCACATGTATATGCTTGCTTCTCCCATGTAGAACTAGATTTCTAGAAAGCTTGATAGCTGAACTATTATCACAATAAATTGAAGTGCCCTCATGTTGATTCATCTTAAGTTCTTCTAGAACTCTTCTTAACCAAATAGCTTGACAAGCATAAGAAGTCGTTGCCACATACTTTGCTTCTATTGTGGACAAAGTCACAAGGGGTTGCTTCTTTGAAGACCATGAAACTGCACCAGATCCTAACATAAAAACATACCCATAAGTGCTTTTTCTGTCATCCAGATCTCCAACATAATCACTGTCTGTAAAACCTATGAAATTTGTCTGGTCACCCTTCTTGTAGAATAGTTCAAAATCTGTAGTTCCACGTAAATACCTGAGAATTCTTTTAGCAATCTACAAGTGCAACTCCTTTAGATGCTCCATATATTTCCTAATTAGACTTACACCATGCATTATGTCTGGTCTTGTTGCTATCAAATACATCAGACTTCTAACAATCTGCTTATACAATTTGTTGTCCATAGATTTGCCACTCGGATCCTTTATGAGCTTTACACCTTCGTCAACTAGTGTAGTAACAAAATTGTAGTTCTTCATTTGAAATTTGTCAAGAACTTCCTGCACATATTTTTTTCTGAAAAACAAAAATTCTAGAATCCGATTGTACTACTTCTAGACCAAGAAAATAATGCAACAAACCCATATTTGTCATATCAAATTCAAGCTTCATAGACTACTTGAACTTTTCCAACATGCCAAGATCATTCCCAATATAAATTAAATCATCAACATATAGGCATACAATAATCAATTTTGATGTAAAGTGTATGCTTATAAGGGCACTTTTGAAAACCTTCAAAAAATAAGCATCAATTCGACTATATCAAGCTCTAGGTGCTTGTTTTAGTCCATATAATGCTTTCTTCAATCTATAAACGTTATGCTCAAAACCAGGAGGTTGATCAATAAATACTTGTTTTTGTAGATTTCCATGCAAGAAGGCCGATTTCACATCAAGCTGGTAGATCGGCCATGAGTTCTGTGCTGCCAATGCAATCATCAATCTGATGGTGTCCATCCTTGCAATTGGAGCAAAAACTTCTTGATAATCAATGCCAAACTCTTGCTTGTAACCCTTTGCCACCAAGCAAGCTTTGAATTTGTCAACCTCCCCATTTTCTTTGAGCTTTGTCTTGTAGATCCATTTAACAACAATTGTCTTGTGCCCTTCTGGGAGATCTATCAACTCTCAAGTCCAGTTCCTTTCAATAGAACCAAGTTCTTCTACCATGGCTTTTTTTGCCATTTTTCTTCTTTAACAGCCTCTTCATATGTCAATGGATCATAATATGCAAATAGAGCAAAATAAGCAACTAGAACATCATCTTGAGGTAAATTTGTTACTTCATAATCCTCCAACCATACTGGTCTTCTCTTTTTGTGTTGAGGTCATGAACTGGTTCCAGATTCCAATTCTAGTGTTATTGGCAGATTTTCTCCAGTACTAAGTTCTACTACTGCAGGTAGACTTTCCTCATTTGCCTTTCTTGAAGCCTCGAAATCTGTTGAAATTAGACCTCCATTCTGTTATGTCTGACCTCCTGTGTTTCGCACAGTCAGATCATTTCCATTTTTGAAATTTGCAGGAATATGTTGCCTAGATTTTTCTGTCCAAGACCACGTGCTTGCTTCATCAAACACTACATCACGGCTAATGATGATCTTCTTGGTTATAAGATTGTATAATCTATAAGTTTTGGACTAATCACTAACACCAAGAAAAATGCATTTTTCCCTTTTGTCATCATGCTTACTTCTTTTCTAATCTAGCATATGTGCCTATGTTATACACCCATAAATTCTGAAGTAATCAATAGTAGGTTTATGTCCACTCTATGCCTATTCTGGCGTCATATTTGGAAGTGGAGATGTGGGACTTTTGTTCAAGATGTGAACATCCCAATTAACAGCTTCTGGCCAAAACTCCTTAGGCAAGTCGCTTTTTGACATCAGACTTTTCACCATATTCATGATTGTGCGATTCCTCACTTTCACATACACCATTCTACTGAGGTGCATATGTTGCTATGAGTTGTCTTTTAATACCATTGGATTCACAAAAATTTGCAAATTCCTTTGAGTTAAATTCACCACCATGATCTGTGCGTAAAACCTTTACAAATCTGCCAACCTCATTCTTAGCCAAGACTTTGAAATTTTTAAAGGTTGCTAAGGCTTCTGACTTGGTCTACAAAAAATACACCCATGTTTTGCGACTATAATAATCAACAAAGGTAATAAAATTTTGTTTACCTTCATTAGATGTTGGATTTATAGGTCCTCACAGATCAAAATGAACTAGATCTAGCACTTGCTTTGCTCTCCAAGATCTGTCTTTGGGAAAACTGTCATGGTGCTGCTTACTGACCATGCATATTTCACAAATTTTTGAAGGAGAATCAAAATGAGGAAGACCATTTACCATCTTCTTCTGCTGCAAAACTTTCAACCCATCAAAATAAAGGTGTCCATATCAGTAATGCCATTACCAAGCTGTGTCCTTCAATTTGGTAGATAAACATGACAGATTTGTGGTCTGCAAGTACAATAGAAACAACCTATTTTTTGTCATCTTAGAACAAAAATTATCAAGCTACAGATAACAGGTCCAAATTTGCAAGCAAGGCAAATGTTGAATGCCTCAGATGTCATAAATATGGCCATTATCGTTTTGAGTGCCATGCTAATCTGAGTAGAGGAGAAAGTTCTAACTTTGCAGAACATAATGAGAAGAATGACGATGCCTCTTTATTCATGGTTTGTCATCCTAAAGAAGTCAGCAAGAAGAATGTGTGGTATTTGGATACTTGCTGCAGCAACCACATGTGTGCAGACAAATCTTTGTTTTCAAATTTGGATGAGTCTTTTCAAGACAAGGTAAAATTTGGTGATAATTCTACTATTGTAGTCAAGGGAAGAGGAAAGGTAACCATTCGTGCCAAAGACAATTTAATTCAAACTATTGCTAATATTCTGTATGTACCAGATTTGAAGTCCAATCTGCTTAGTCTGGGACAACTTCAGGAGAAAGGATATGAAATCCTAATTAAAGATGGAGTTTGCCAAGTTTGTGATTCAAAGCTTGGCTTGATTGCAAAGGTCAAGATGATAGAAAATAGGTTGTTTCCATTGTACTTGATGGAACTAAAAAGTTGGCAAATAAGCCCTCTAACCTCACTTCTAGTGCAAATTAGTCTCCGCTAACTGATTTCGTGACAACGTTTGTTATTGGCTGCATGCCATTGCACTTGCACGTCTTTCCATGTCCTTTTTTTTTGTCTTTACTTCATTTATTTTTAGTAATAATATATTTTTTAATTAATTAATTAGTTAATATTATATAATATACATATTTTAGGTATTTTTTAAAATAAAATAATGAGATATTTTTTAGTTAATTAATAATACATTTTTTACAATAATTTTTATAAATTAATTCTTAAATTTAATTAAATCACTTAATTAACAAATTTTTTTTAAATGTTCCTTATTTTTTTGTTAATTATTATGAAAAGAATTTTCTAATAAAGGGTACATGTTAAAATTATAATAAATATATTTTTATCATAAATTTATATTGAAAAAATAAATATTGATTTTTAATTTATCAATTACCTAATTAAATTCATTACTGTGATAATGATACTAAAATTAATATTAACTTTGAGTCAAATTGATAAACAGTAAAGACCAAATCAGGGATTTTTTTAGTTTAGGAACCAAATTGGGGATCCATACAATAGTTGAGGGATCAAATTGGAAATCCATACAATAGTTGAGGGATCAAATTGAGGATCTAACCATAAAGAGGTCCAAGTTGGTGCCACATCAGCGCCACTTAGGAAACACCATTGAAGTTAATAGAGAGCTTAACAAACTTTTGGATGGTGTCAAGATGTCCGTTGACAGAAGAATGACACTTGGCCTCCTCACGAAAGCTTAAGGATTATTATGAATTGTTTTTCAGTAGAGGGATGATAATGACTCCTTTTTCAAAGTTCAAAGATTTTTTCCGACATTAAACCTATTGACAAACGTTCATCACTGGTTCACGTTTGATTGATGTCAAAAGCCTTAATTTACTTTTCAACGAAATTACATTTTTCTTAGTGGATTGAAGTTAAATTTTTTTTTAAAAAAAATTTTTAAAACTCATTTAAAAATTAACTTATAAATTAAAAGTAAGTGCTCTTTAAAGTTTACTAAATACCTTTTAAGTCTTTTGTCTAGATCAAAGGGAAAATAGAGGGATTAGCTTTTTCTTTAACCCTATGTTTGGGCTGAGAGGAGTGAAGGGGAGGGGAAAAATGAGGGAAGGAGAATTATTTCCTTTTATTCCCCTTTTTTCTCCCCCTTTCCTTTTCCCTCAACTGGATAAGTAGTCAAATTAAAAGATAAAATAAAGAAAAGTTAATTTTTCCTCTCTCTTTCCTTTCAATTTTTTTATAACCAAATAAAGAATTTTTTTCCCTCCCCTCCTCTCCTCTCCATTCCCCTCAACTAAACATATTGTAAGTGATTGGATTCAATTCCTTATCTATGCTGTGGGAGAAATTGTAGTTTAAATTTGGAGAAGATTTGTGGGAATGTAAAGTTTGATGTAAAGGGCTAAGGTACCCTTTATAACTAAATAGTAGAAAATATTTATTTGTTGGGAAAAAAAAAAAACTAAAAACAAGCTTGCAGATGATAGAATTCTCCTGCTAAACAGAACCATTAATTTAGCAAAATACTTTCAAGGATTACAATGCTTCTCTTTGTCCAGATATGTTTATGGGAGTACATATCTTTCTTGACCCGTAGACTTTGCAACCTTGGATATAATTGAGATAGCCTTAACATGGAGGCATGTCAGGTGGTGGTGGTAACATTTTGGCCTCCGGCGGTTCGCCATCTTTAACTATGAACGCCGTACCCATGCCCCATACCATGTGTCGATCAATATGGCAATGCATGTGCCACACTCCTATTCAAGAAGAAAAAAGAAACAGAAAAACAGAAAAAGAAGTCAATGGTGATAACAACCATAACAATTTTGAAAATGTCGGTCCAAAATGCTTTAATTCCTGATTTTAGAGGGTAACAGCACCAATTAAAGTTTGAACATTTGCATTAATTGTAAGTGTGTAATGAGTTGGAGAACCCCTTGAACAATCAATAAAACTAATTTGCTATTTTGCTGTTTTATTTATTTTTTTTCTTCTTGCTTGAAACAAATGGAAGAAATTAAACAATCATAAAATGCAGGAACCACATATCCAAAGAAATCTACGGATTAATAGTTTGTATTACATGTTTTAATAAACTTTATTTTGAAGATAAAGCTTATACGTACCAGGATTGTTAGCCTTGAATCTTATGGCCATCCATCCATCTCTTGGAACATGAATGGTGTTTTGAAGAGGAGGGTCCACCAGATTGTACGTTAAGGGATCCTTGTCCTTATCGAAATTCCCTAAACCCAATCCCACAACATAAAAACTATGTCCATGAAGATGCATTGCATGGTCACTACCTTTTACCAAGTTTGTCGCCTGGAAAACAAGCTCCACGGTGGAATTGTAATCTAGTACTCTCACTTCCGTTCCTAGTTGCGGAATCTCCCACTCCGTCGGTAAATAATCAGCAGTGAAGTCAAAAAATAATTGAGGAAAATCAGGAAGATTGGTCCCATACACCCCTTGAATGCAGCAATAGTAAGCTTGTAATATATCAATGCTGGGATTGAGGAAGCTTACGTTGTTCACACTGGCTATGAATCTCAGCTGCTCACCAGCTGCACATAAGATTTTTTTATAGAAGCTAAACAAAATAATTTTTTTTTGTTTGACTTTGAATTATTTAATAAGAGATAACTCTCTTTCATTCTTAAACTCACCTCACTCATATATTGTATGACCTAAATTCATAATTTTTAGCTCAACTTGGAGAAGAAATTACCACTAAGCAACTAAATAATTGTTACTATAACTAAATATATTCTTTTAGGTCTAAATTTTGAGGGCTCACACTTTCATCCTTAATCTTTTTTTTTTTATAAGTTTATCCTTAATCTTTAAAATTAAGTAATTGGCTCCTTAACCTTTTAATAATTACCCCTTATTTGGTTTGAGGAAAATTGGGGGAGAGGAGTGAAGAGAAATGGAAGGGTATCATTTTCCTTCCATATTCCTCCCCGCCCTTCCCCTTCTCTTGGTTAGACTAAATTACAAAAAGAATTAGGGCAAAATATAGGAAAGTCGCTCTCTTGCTCTCCAATTTTTTGTGAATCAATTAATAGAGAAATTTCTTTCCCTCCATAACTTTTTTTCTCTCAAACCAAATAAGTTTGTAGGTGTATATGTGTGCCTATATATAAAGAGAGAAAGAGAGTATTAATGTTCTTTATGGTATTAATTTAACCTAACTAATTTTATGGAACAAATCACCACCATCCATTGATATTGGACAAATTTTCACCAATAATT